TATATTGCTTTAATATATTTTTTAATGGTTTTGGATAGAATAAAAAAATACTGATTTTTTTTTTTGAACAAATTTATTCTAGCCAAATAAATAGTTATAAAAATTTTCAAAAAATGGGAGAAAGATTTTTGAAAAAAGTATAAATATCTTGATTTGTAAAAGTTGTTATTGTTTATGCATCTGTATAACTTAAAAATAAGCAAGTTTTACAATTAAAATATTTATCCGATTAGTTAAAAACAGAAAACTAATCAAAAGCAAAGAGCAAAAAGAGGTGGAAGCTACAAGACCGCACTCGAAATAATAAAACTTAAGTAGCATACCTAAAACTACATGACCTGAATTGGATTTCTCATCCACCCTATGCATGCCTTACTAACTCATGTACGTCTAAAGCATATCCAAAAAAAAAAAAAGGTTGAACAATGTTGTGATACAATTCATCAAACCTAGGTTTAATTAGGCTTTGCTTGTTACATGTGATGGTACTAAACATGACACAACTAGCTGATTCTGGACTAACTATTTTCCATGAAGATGAGGACAGGGGTATTCATGTCCATGTCTCACCTTGTTCCAGATTTTCAACCATGAAAATGAATTGGAATTTTGATCCCATTGACATAAATCTCTTTTCGATACACACCAAACATAATACTACACTGCCATTAACTAATCATACTTTTATGTCATATCTTGTGTAACAAGTGACACCCTCGAGCAAAAGGTCAAAGTTTCAAAGTAAGATCGGGTGTAGCCGATGAACAACCAACATCAATGATATGCTGGAAGCTATCATACCAAAACGGTTTGGCTTCATCGACCTCCATGTGTATGGGGATCCCAAGATAGCTGTGGTCAAAGATTTCTCGACCTCTAATGGCTTGAACCGCTTGATGTAATGAGACATGTGCTTCAATACCCAATGTCTGAGATGCAGATCCATGAAGAGGTAAAGATGATCCATGAAGAGGCAGACATGCGAGGCTTGCATATCTTTCCGATAACATTTTCAACGTCATGGCTCTCTTTTCCATCCTCCTCTCCTGTTTGTGTGCGTTCTGATGCCCTCCCAATGCCTGTGAGCTGTAGAACTTGCGCCTACAGTAATTGCACGAGAAAAGCTTTACTGTGGTGTTGGTGAAGCCGAGAGTTAGGTCGAGGGTAATGGGAGGCTCAATTAGATGTACTGTGGGGTTAGTGATCAGGCGTGAACAAGGGGTTGGGATTTCGGATTCCTCTTCATCTTCGAATAGGTTGTTTGGATGTTCCATGTCTAATCAATGATTTTCTGACGACGATCTTAATCCTGCATGCAAACGCAAATTCGATAATTAATAGGATGTTAAGATCATTTTGGAACTCGTGTAGGACAATCAATGGCAACTTATGGTTGTTCTATGTATGTCCAATATGAAAACAACAATAAATATATGCAATAGGCACGTTTGTACGATGTCTGATCAGAGATAGGCATTTTCACAAAAAGATTTAATATTAGGGTAAACATTGAGAAATGACTTGTCATTTGCTTAAATGGGTAAAAGATGTCAAAGTTCGATTTCTTTTTTTTTTTTTTACCTTTTTTGGAATCATAAAAAAAAATGATGGATTTCTTCACATATGCCATGCATAACTTGTACTTGCTCACGTGATTGAAACCTAAAGCTACGACCTTCTACTTGCTTATGTGATAGAAGCTTATGATAAACTACAAGTGCCAAGTTAACACAAAACTTAAGCCTATTTTCAACGTACTTCATCGAACACCATGAAAAATCATTAGAAGTTTCATAAAGAGAAAGGAGTCAACCCAATTCACAATCCTTCAGGACTTCCATCAAATATATGGTTACCTTTATTTCTAAAAGACTTGTCTATGTGAAACGCTGAGTTCTCCATGATCTATATGTAATATATAACCGAAACTCTCAATTTTTTCTAAAACCAAGCATTCTAAATCCTCAATTTTCTGAAGCACAAGTAGTAACACGTAACAAGTATCAAAATCAAAATCAAATAAAGAAATACATATTATATTTAATTTAAAACAGAACACATTCAATATAGAAAGGGGATGAGAAAAGGGGTTGCACACCTCTGGTAGAGCGGTGTAGCACTATAGCTCGATTATCTTCCTAACTGCTACAGCTCAATATGATTGTTAGATTGAAAAAGACTGGTGGTTATTTTCTAGGTTTTGCGAAATATAGCGTAGAGAAGAGAGGCATATAATATCGAAGGAATTACTGTTTAGGAGAGAGAGAGAGAGAGAGAGAGAGAGAGAGAGAGAGAGAGAGAGAGA